AGAGGGAGAACAGATATTAGGTTCTAGAAGATATAGTACCACCACAATACCAGTTTAAAAATCTGTGGTGCTGGCTCAGAAACAGCCGGAAATGGCCAGGCACAGTGGCTCATGCCCATAATCCCAATGCTCTGGGAGGCTGAGGGGAAGGATTGCTTGAGTCCAGGAGTTTGAGACCAGCCTGGGCAACATAGGGAGACCCCATCTTTACAACCCCCCCACACACACACACAAATTAGCCCATTGTGGTGGCACGCACCTGTAGTCCCAGCTGCTCAGGAGACTGAGATGGGAGGACTGCTTGAGCCCAGGAGGTCAAGGCTGCAGTGAGTTGTGATTGTGCCGCTGCACTCCAGCCTGGGTGACAGAGTGAGACCCTGTCCCAAAAATATTGAAAAATAAAGGAAAGGGAAAAAAAACTCATTTAAAAAAAAAAGTATAAAAGAAAGAAATGTGGAGAGTTCTACAAAAGGACACTGTCCCACTTTTTGGGGAGAAGTGCAAGTTGGGACACCCTCTGAAGAGTCAATTAGCAATTCATGACCACAGCCTCAGAGAGCAGGATGCCAGCAGGCAGATATACAAAGACATATGTGCACACAGTTGTTTTTTCTTTTGAGATGGAGTCTCGCCTTTGTCACCCAGGCTGGCGTGCAATGGCGGGATCTTGCTCACTGCAACCTGGGTTCAAGGATTCTCCTGCCTCAGCCTCCCGAGTAGCTGGGATTACAGGCGCCCACCTCCGTGCCCAGCTAATTATTTGTATTTTTAGTACAGATGGGGTTTCACCATGTTGGCCAGGCTGGTCTTAAACTCCTGACCTCAGGTAAGCCATGTGCCTCCGCCTCCCAAGGTGCTGGTATTACAGGCGTGAGCCACTGCGCCCAGCCAGCTTTTTTATAATAGCAAACATTTTAAAGTGACCTGAAAGTCCGTAAAGAGATAATGGATTGAGCAAACTGTGCTCTACCCACACACTCCCAGCAGAACACCCACCTGCCAAAAATGGAAGTGGTAGAATACTCCTGTTGGTGTTGAAAGGCGTTTCAATATAAATCCGTGAATAAATCAGGTTACAAAGCACTGTGTACAAGATGATCTCACGTCTGCCTGATGCGCGCGCACACACACACACACAGACAAATCCAGAAGCACGTCACACAGTTTTAACTGATTCAGTAGAGCCTCATAGTTTAACATGTTTTCTATTTTTACCTAACACTGATTTTCCTACAAAAACATATATTGTTTGTATAATTCTTTTCATTTTTCATATAGCAGGAAATAAAATTCCCTACTTTTAAAAATATCCAGGCCGGGCATGGTGGCCCACACCTGTAATACCAACACTTCAGGAGCCAGAGATGGGTGGATCACCTGAGGTCAGGAGTTCGAGGCCAACCTGGTCAGCATGATGAAACCACGTCTCTACTAAAAATAAACATAAAATATTAGCTGGGCATGGCTGCACGTGCCTGTAATCCCAGCTACTTGGGAGGCTGAGGCAGGAGAATCACTTGAACCAGGGGATGGAGGTTGCAGTGAGCTGCGTTCATGCCATTGCACTCCAGTCTGGGCAACAAGAGTGAAACTTTGTCACAAAACAAAATATCCATGGCTCGTGCCTATAATCCCAGCACTTTGGGAGGCCAAGGCAGGAGGATTGCTTGAACCCAGGAGTCTGAGACCAGCCTGGGCAATATAGTGAGAACCAATCTCTATAAAACGTTTTTTTTTCCTTTGAGACAGGATCTCACTCTGTCATCCAGGAGTACAGTGGCACCAGCCATCAGGGCTCATTGCAGCCTTGACCTCCTGGGCTGCGGTGATCCACCCGCCATAGCCTCCCAGGTAGCTGGGACTACAGGCACGTACCATTGCAGCCAGCTAATTTTTTAATTTTTTTGTAGAGACAGGATTTTGCCTCGAACTCCTGGGGTCTGTAGATCCACTCACCTTGGCCTCCCAAAGTGCTGGGATTTAAAGGCATAAGCCACCACTCCTGGCCTACAAAAGCTTTTTGTCAAAAATTATTGTCAATTAATAGCATTTGTTTGTTCTTCAAATGCAAGTTGTAGTCAAAGTTAATTCAAAACCACTTATTTGACCAGGTGCGTTGGCTCACGCCTTTAATCCCAGCACTTTGGGAGGCCGAGGCAGGCAGATCACAAGGTCAAAAGATGGAGACCATCCTGACCAACATGGTGAAACCCCGTCTCTACTAAAAATACAAAAAAATTAGCCGGGCATAGTGGTACGTACCTGTAGTCCCAGCTACTCGGGAGGCTGAGACAGGAGAATTGCTTGAAACCAGAAAACGGAAGTTGCAGTATATAGCTGCACAAAAAAAGTCATGTATTTTCTCAGCTGTGGAGTATTTTTCTTCATTTTCCTTAAGTTGTGTGTGATGCCATAACACAGACTCTTCCTGCTGCCTCTTGTTCCCTGCCTGCCCCTCTGGCCCCTCCTCTGGGGTTTTCTGCCCTCTCAGTAACTGCACAGAATGAGTCACCTCTTGAGCAGAGCCCCAGTTGTTTCAACACAAAGGCCTTTTAGAAGCTGTTGCTGTAGGAAGAAGCGTCAAGGGGCCTGGTATCCGGGTGGGAGACTGGGTGGAGTTATTATAGGAAACACAGCTGTGGCCACCACCCATGAATCTTCCAGATCCCAAAACATGAAATCCACTGTCAAGTTTATATTCCCTTCTTCCAAGAAACTCTTGTCTTCAGAACCCAGCCAAGGCCGTGTGTGGTCACTCAGGCCTATAATCCCAGCATTTTGGGAGGCTGAGGTGGGAGGATTGCTTGAGCCCAGGAGTTTGAGACCAGCCTGGGAACCACAAAAAGATGGAGTCTTGCTCTGTCTCCCAGGCTGGAGTGCAGTGGCGTGATCTTGGCTCACTGCAATCTCCACCTCCTGGGATAAAGTGATTCTCCTGCCTTTCCCGAGTAGCTGGGATTACAGGTGTGTGCCACCATACCCAGCTAATTTTTGTATTTTTAGTAGAGACAGTGTTTCTTCAGGTTGGCCAGGCTGGTCCCAAACTCCTGACCTCAGGTGATCTGCCTGCCTCAGCCTCCCAAAGTGCTGGGATTGCAGATGTAAGCCACCATGCCTGGTCTCTATGAAAAATTTTTAAAAATTAGCCAGGTGGGCCAGGCGCAGTGGCTCATACCCGTAATCCCAGCACTTTGAGAGGCTGAGGCGGGTGGATCACAAAGTCAGGAGTTTGAGACCAGCCTGACCAACATGGTGAAATCCCGTCTCTACTAAAAATACAAAAATTAGCCAGGTGTGGTGGTGCACACCTGTAATCCCAGCTACTTGGGAGGCTGAGGCAGGAGAATCATTTAAACCTAGGAGGTGGAGGTTGCAGTGAGCTGAGATTGCCTGGTGACAGAGCAAGACTCCGTCTCAAAAAAGGAAAAAAAAAAAATTCACCACATGTGGTGACACATACCTGTGTTCTCAGCTACTTAGGAGGTGTAGGCAGGAGGATCATTTGAACCCAGGTGCTCGAGGCTGCAGTGAGTTGTGATTGCACCACTGCATTCCAGCTTAAGTGAAAAGAGAGACTCTGTCTGGGGGAAAAAAAAAAAAAAAAAAAAGCCCAGCTGATATATACACTTTGCACGTCTTCCATTGAAATTTCTTTCTTTCTTTCTTTTTTTTTTTTTTTTTCGAGACAGAGTCATGTGCTGTAACCCAGGCTTGAGTGCAGTGATGCAATGTCAGCTCATTGCAACCTTTGCCTCCCAGGTTCAAGCAGTTCTCCTGCCTTAGCCTCCTGAGTAGCTGGGATTACAGGTATACCACCACACTTTTTTTTTTGTATTTTTAGTAGAAACTTTTTTTTTTTTTTTTAACTTAAGACGGGGTTTTACCATGTTGGTCAAGCTGGTCTTGAACTCCCGACCTCAGGTGATCCACCTGCCTTGGCCTCCAAAGTGCTTGGATTACAGGCATGAACCACCACGCCTCGCCGTAGAAACGGTGTTTTACCATGTTGGCCAGGCTAGTGTTGAACTCCTGACCTTGTGATCCGGCCGCCTCGGTCTCCCAAAGTGCTGGGATTACAGGCTTGAGCCACTGCGCCCGGCGAAATTTCTTAATAATATTCCCTTTTTCTACTCTGTAAAAATGAGGTGTTAACTGCTTCCTCTCTGGGCTGCTGGAGGAATTACACTTATGGCATCCATGCCTGGCCACACCTGGCGCCTCTCTGGCCTCTCTGCTCCTCAGACCTTTCAAGAGCTGCTTTTATTTTGCAAGTTGTTTTCTTTTCACCTAGTTTGATAATAATTTTGCCTGAAACTTACCACATAAGGTTAAGATGCCAAACCTAGAGCAATCCCCCTGCCTTTTTAAGGACTGGGAGCAAGACTGTGTTGTTGGTTATCCCAGTAACGATGGTGTCCCGAGCTGAGCTGCAGCTGAGATGCAGAAAAGTAGGCTCCACTTTGTTCTGAGTCATGGGGTTGAGAGGAGTCAAACGACTGACTCTATTGCAAACAGGACTGGCTGCAAGTCCGTGGATCCCAGTGCAAAAATGGAAACACAGGGCTCTGTGTTCAAAAATCAGCAAATATTTCAGGATGGCACCAGCCAATCCAAGCATGGGGTCCTCTGGGTGCAGGGCCCACATGGCGGCCCCGGTCTCATAGCCATGAAGGCAGCCCTAATGGGAAACAAGAGGCTCCCCTCACACCAGATCCTCCCAGGACACAGAGAGTGCTGGCCTGTCCCGGGGTTGAAAGTGCCGTGAGCAGGAAAGGAGGGCGGGAAGTCCTGCAGTCATGCAGGGCTCTCCCACCCTGCTCCCATGACTCCACAGTATGCCCGAGGAGGGTGCTGGCCATAGCCATGTGGCAGGAAGCCCCCATTCCGGCCTTGCCACCGGCCAGCTTGTGGCCTTGGCACAAAGTGTAAGGCCTTCAGGTGAAAGGCAGCTGCTCCACACTCACTTATGATGCCCACTCCTTCTGTCCTTCCATGCACAGAAGTTCATCGAGTTTGAAGATGCCCTGGAACAAGAGAAGAAAGAGCTGCAGATCCAGGTGGAGCACTACGAGTTCCAGACGCGCCAGCTGGAGCTGAAGGCCAAGAACTATGCAGATCAGAGTAAGTGTCTGGTGGGAGAGCCAGAGGCACTCATGATGGGCGCTGCCCCGGGTGGCTCTGGCTGGGGCGGACATGGAGCACCTTCCACACCAAGGGATGAGAGGAAGCCAGTGGGAGCCTTATGATGTCTTCACCACAGTCCCTCAGCCATGTGTTCCAGCTCTTTGCACTGCTGCCTAGTTCTGTAATGGGCCCCAAGTTGTGTGTGGAAATAAGTAAATAAGGCTCCTGTGGTCCCATAGCACTTGTGCTTCAGAGTGAATTCTGACCCCCATATCACAAGTCTGTGGTCCTGAAGGTCCTTCCCGCACCTTTGGAACAAAGTTCCTGCAGCCCCTGGGGTCCTCGCCTTGTCACACTGCTGAGGAGTGATGGCTGCTTCTCAGGCAGGAGGGTGGGCCTGTGGGTGCAGCCCCCCTAGAGTGACAGCACCTAGGTAGGGCTCACAGCTAATCAGGGTGTCTGTACGCTGCAAGGAAAGGTGGCGAAAGGGGTTTAGAATTATTATTATTATTACTATTCTTATTATAAAAACAATTGGTTTACTTAGCTTTAAGTCTGTGCTTAAACTCTACTGTCAACGTTACAGGCCAGGCATGATGTTACAGGACCTGTGGTCCCAGCTACTCAGGGGGCTGAGGTTGAGGCTGCAGTGTGGGCACAGAGAGACTCCACCTCTAAAAAAAAAGAAAAAAAATGAAAAGAAATTCTGATTTCCTGTGTCATTTTAGTTTTCTAGAATTAGATATTTTAGTGATTGAAACTGATCTTGCTGTTTTCCGTAGTTACCTCAATAGCAGGTTCCTTCATCTCTGAAAAGTTAAGATCACACTGGGGAAAGAAACTGTTTGATATGTTAGCGCTACTCCTATCCCAAACCAAGGCCTAAAGGCCACTGTGCTGATGATGACCTGCTGACGAATCTGGGGCCTGGAGGGTGACCGCGGTGGCAGCTTCAGCACACATGTAAACATGCTGGCACTCACATCGCAAAGCAAACCTGAGGCCTGTGCTGAGTGTCCCTGGGTAACCCCTCTCCGTAATTACAGAGTCTCTCCTGGTCCCTCGGCTTTCAGTACGTTTCACGTGTGAAGTGTTCTCAGCTCTCTTCTTAGAAGGAGAAAAACATAAGCTCAAATTATAGGCGGGGCTGGGAACACTGGCTCACACCTGTCATTTCCACACTCTGGGAGGCCAAGGTGGGCAGATCACTTGAGCTCCAGAGTTCAAGACAAGACTGGGCAACATGGTGAAACCCCATCTCTACAAAAAAAATACAAAAATTAGCCAGGCGTGGTGGCTCACAGACTTGTGGGTCCAGTTACTCGGGAGGTAGAGGCTGCAGTAAGCCTTGATCATATCACTGTACTCCAGCCTGGGTGACAGAGTGAGCGAGACCCTGTCACAAAAAAAGAAAATCGCATTACAGGCTGAGGCTGTTCACTGGGTCAGCACCAGGAGTGGGCGCCAGAGGAATGCAGAGGGCAGGCCCTGAGCTCCTTCTGGGTGGTGGCTGTACTCTGCCCCAGCGGGAGCTCACAAAGCAGCTGTGGGGCTCCGGCCGCACACAAGAGAGGCATCCCCTCCTGGGTCCACAGCCATTGCCGGGGTCAGCACACACCGGGGATTGCTGGTCTGCTCCCTCCTCTAGCAGCCAGTTACATGTGTGTCACGTGCAGTGTATAACTCATGTGCCATGTGCAGCGTCTATAAGTCGAGTGTGCCGCATGCAGCGTCTGTGAGTCGCGTGTGCCACGTGCAGCGTCTGTGAGTCACGTGTACCGCGTGCAGCGTCTGTGGGTCAGTGCCACGTGCAGTGTCTGAATCACGTGTGCCGCGTGCAGCGTCTGTGAGTCGGTGCCGTGTGCGGTGTCTGTGAGTCACGTGTGCCGCATGTGGCATGTGAGTCACATGTGCCGCGTGCAGCGTCTGTGAGTCACGTGTACTGCATGCAGCATATGTGAGTTGGTGCCGTGTACGGCGTCTGTGAGTTGGTGCCGTGTGTGGCGTCTGTGAGTCACGTGTGCCGCGTGTGGCGTGTGAGTCACATGTGCCGCGTGCAGCGTCTGTGAGTCACGTGTACTGTGTGCAGCGTCTGTGAGTCGGTGCCGCATGCAGCGTCTGTGAGTCACGTGTTGGGTGTTGTGTCTGTGAGTCACGTGTGCTGCGTGCAGCGTCTGTGAGTCGCATGTGTTGGGTGTTGTCTGTCCTGTGTTGCATGCAGTGTCTGTACATGTATGTCAGGTGCAGCATCTATAAGTCATACATGTCGGGTGCTGTGTCTGAGTCATGCGTGTCGATATCTATAAGTCACACGTTAGGTGTGATGTGTGTAAGCACCTCAAGCTCCTTAGGTAAGACCAGACTGATGGCTTCGCGCTGATGCCTGTGCTACTTCTCGGGGTGGGATCCCCACGCTGGCAGGGCAGCCTCCCTGGGTGCATGGTAGAGATGCAGGCGCACAGCCTAGGCAGACAAGGCCTCCAAGGATGTGCCAGGCCAGCTACTCCCCAGGCCACAGTGCAGGATGACATAGGCCAGGGTGAGATACTGAGCCACAGAATCTGTAAGTCATTTCCAAACAGACGCCAGAAAGCCAGGGAGGAGGGGAGGGCCCCACGCCAAGGACAAAGCACAAGCTGGTGGAGCACCGAGGCAGCTGAGTCCCGGCCACAAGCTCCCTGGGGCTGTCTCTCACCTCGCCACGCTGTGTCAGCCCTCCTCCTTGGTGGGCTGCAGGATAGAGCCATGGAGGTGGGCATCATGCCAGTGGCACGTGTGCTCCATCAGCAGGACACAGTGGGGTCCCCTGGCTGCGGCTGCCCATCGGCCCATCATGCTGCTTCTGTGTCCCTTGGGCAGAGCACGTCTGGGGCCACAGGGGACTGTGTTGGTATCACCGGGGTCTCCCGTTTAAGGGAGACATGACTGTCCACCCAGAAGGGGCATGGTCATGATTGGTCTCTCCAGCCCTTGGCATGTGTGAGGGACCCTGCTGCTTGTTCTGCCAGGCACATCCCGTTGACCTGTTGTGGAGGTTACTCACTTTGAATCTTGCCTCCTCCCACGAGCTTCTTGTGCACCTGTTGCCTGTGCCTGGCATGCCTCGGTTTTGCCCCCATCTCAAGCTCCTGGCCAACTTTAGCGCAGAGAGCGCCTGCGGGTTTCCCCACCTTCATCTTTAATTCCCAGCAGAGCTGAGTCCAACAGCGCAGCACACACAGCCTTCAGACAGTCTTGCGCTTGTGGGGCTGCCTCTGGTTGCCCCGGGCCCCAGAGCTCCAGCTTGTCCTGGAACCCTCTCCCTCTGTGGTTACAACTCAGAGAAGTTGAGGCCATGGAGAAGCGGCCTGTGCGGTTCAGACGGGGGTTGTGTTTTCTAGTTTCCCGGTTGGAGGAGCGGGAGTCGGAGATGAAGAAGGAGTACAACGCGCTCCACCAGCGGCACACAGAGGTGGGCACCCTGGCGGACACCGACCTCTAGCCCAGGGGCAAGCACGGACGCGAGGGTTCGGGAGAGAGCCACGGCCTGATGCCTGCGACTGGTGTGGACCATGGTTTTCTTCCCTAGTGGGTCCCTTTTCTGGCATTTGCTACCAGGCTTGAAGGCTGTCGGCCCCAGGCTGGTTAGATTCCCCCCCAGGACTTTGTCTTGATTTCTGCCAACACACAGCAGCCAGAAAAGCCTCTCAGGTTAGAGAGGGGAGGGAGGGAGCCGCGGGTGGCAGCGTACATGCAGGCGCTTCTTTCCTTGCAGATGATACAGACCTATGTGGAGCACATCGAGAGGTCCAAGATGCAGCAGGTCGGAGGAGGCGGGGGAAACAGCCAGACTGAGAGCGGCCTGCCTGGGCGGAGGTATGTGGGGTGCAGAGGAACATGGTGGGGGCACAGGGCGCTGGACAGAGGACCAGGGGTGCAGGGAGGAGGAGGAGGGGCGACAGCGCAGAGGTACACGGGGTGCAGGCTGGGCTCCTTGTGCTTGTTGTGGCCCGCTCTCTGAGCTCAGGACCACAGGGAGTGCTCTGAAGACCCAGGAGGAGGGAGCTGGTTGGAGCATGACTGAGTAGGGATGTGGGGGGCTGCTCTGGTGAGGGACATGTGTTGAGGCCCTCTGTCCCTTCTGCTTGGTCCACAGTTCAGTCAGGGAGGCCCAGGGAAGCTTGCACACATTTGACCCACAGATTCTGTGTTTGCAAATTTGTCTACTTGCTAAAATAATTTTATTTGTGACCTCAGCCGGGCACGGTGACTTACGCTTGTAATCCTAAAATTTTGGGAGGCCAAGGTGGGAAGATTACTTGAGCCCAGCAGTTTGAGCTCAGCTTGGGCAACATAGCAATACTCCGTCTCTGACACTACAAAAAAAAATTGTTTAAAAATTAGCAAAGAATAGGGTAACACTTCTAGGTCATCCTGCCTCAAATAACTGCTTGTAGTTCTAGCTACTCAGGAGGCTGAGGCGGGAGAATCACCTGAACCCGGGAGGCAGAGGTAGCAGCGAGCCAGATCGTGCCACCACACTCCACTCTGGGTGACAGAGTGAGGCCCTGTCTCAAAAAAGAAACAAAGAAAATCAGTACTCAGAGCAGTTCCTTTTTTTTTTTTGAGACGGAGTTTTGCTCTTGTTGCCCAGGCTGGAGTGCAATGGCGCGATCTCGGCTCACCGCAACCTCCGCCTCCTGGGTTCAGGCAATTCTCCTGCCTCAGCCTCCTGAGTAGCTGGGATTACAGGCACGTGCCACTATGCCCAGCTGATTTTTTGTATTTTTAGTAGAGACGGGGTTTCACCATGTTGACCAGGATGGTCTCGATCTCTTGACCTCGTGATCCACCCGCCTCGGCCTCCCAAAGTGCTGGGATTACAGGCGTGAGCCACCGCGCCCGGTCTAGAGCAGTTTCACATCCTTTGCAGACAGGCATACAGTAGGGAGAAATGGGAGTCCCTGTGCAGGCGCCGCACAGAGGTGGGGCAAGGCGATGCTCTGCCTCCTGTCGGGCTGTTGCCCAGATGCCCAGGGAGGACACAGGAGGTCCAGGCAGTGTCACTCATGAGCCAGTTCTGGAGCCAGTTCCGGGGGCTCCAAGCCCAGCTGTGGCACCTGTTAGGATGGTGGTCTGTGCCAGTCACCCTGTATTTCCAACCTCCTTCTCACTTTGGTAAAATAAAGGAAACAGAACTGACCTGGATGAATAGCTCTCAGGATGTAAATTTCGTTCTTACACATGTACCTGCACATGTACATATTTCCCCAGGGGCAATGGTTGTGACATACTACCTCAAATAACTGCCTGTGTGGAGGAGGCCCGGAGCCTTGGCCAGCCCTGCACTGAGTCTCACTCCCTCCACAGGGCGAGGGTGCCCTCAGGTTTCCAGGACTCCGTCTGGTTTTCCTCGGAGAGCAGGGAGGAGCTTGCCCAGGTTGGGTTCCTCTCCGTTTTCTGTGCCCTTTGAGTCAGGAGAAAGCCAGACTACAGGCCGCAGGGAGCAGAGCATCAAAGATCTCACCAGGGCATTGCCAGCTCCAGGGAACCGGCCCTGGGGAACTGGAGACGCAGCCTGGGCTGGGGAGGTTGGCGCTCTGGTTTTGAGTCTCCAGCAGCAGGGAGGAGGGGCCTGAAGTGGGAAGCCCCGGTCCCACAGAGCTGGGGCAGCTGGAAGTGGGGAATCCTGTTTCTGCCCCTGAGCCTCCTGCAGCCAGGGCTGTGCCAGTGAAAGCTTCCCCCGCGCCCCATCGAGGCCTGGCCAGCTACAGGAGCCACATCATGCCTGTCTGTTCTGGGAGTTACACCTGCAAATGAGAAGGGTCAGGATGTTCTGCCCTGGGTTTCATGGGTCACGTTCTGGATGAGCAGGAGAAGCTGTTAGACTCTGCTTCCCAGTCTCCTGACGTGAGAGGAAACGCACAGTATGCACGAAGGCCCAGCTGGCCAGGGCGGTGCCGTGGAGCGCAGAGCATGTCCTCAGGCAGTCTCACTGCTCTCAGCCTCACCAGGGACCTGCAGCTGTCCTGTGATAAGCACTTGCCCTGAGAAAGGGCGGCAGGCCGCCCGCCCACCCAGAGCACCGTGAGAATTACATCAGGCAGTGTGGATGCCAGCTTGGAAGCTGTGAAAGCCTTGCCAGTGTTTCCATCCGATCCAGAACGAGATTCTCATTCGCAGCTCCCACCTCATGGCACGCATGCTGGGACTCACTGCTGGCTTTCGGGAGGTGAAAGAGGATTCCCAGGTAACTAGAATGAAAATCGAACGTGGACCCAGGATCTTCGTGTTGTTTTTTTGGGGAGCTGCAGGCAGAGGCGGGCAATTTGGCCATCCCCTGGGAGCTACAGCATTCCAGAACCTTCAGCTACCTCCCTGCCAGCACAGCCTCAGAGAGGAGCACCTCAGAGGCCATGCTGGAGGGTACCTGGGCAGGAGGAGCCCAGGAAGGGTGTGCAGCTCATCCCGGATCCCGGAGTTGTGACATGTAAACTCAGGGATGCCCGCTGAGAGTCCAGGTTCCGAGTCACGGTGGTCCTAATGCCAGGCCCATGGACAACACCCAAGACGTCCTGAGATCCTCAAGGCCACGTGAGCTCAGCCAAGAGCAGAGGCCACCCCCGCTCCAGAGCCATCTGAAGCTACCGTCATCATGGGCCAGGTCAGGCCTACCTGGAAGAGGCACGTGATTGCGGGGCAAGGAGTCCTTTGTTGTGGACGTTTCTCTCATGGTGTGAGGTAGAAGGTGGTTCCCATGGGGCCCAGGGCCCTGAGTGGAGTCTGGGCTGCATGCAGCGCCCGTCCCTCAGCTCCTCCTGGCGCTGAGAGTTCAGTGGGAAGGCCCACGGCAGCGTGCCTCGTCCTCGCGGAACCTTGCTCCACTGCAGCTCCCGAAGGCTCTCCGGGCTGCCACGTTTCCCTTGAGCAAGCAGACTGTGCCGCTGGAAGAAGCCCCTCCATGCTTTTGCAAGGGACAGATCTGGGTCTCTCTCCTGTCAGTGCTGCCACACCAGCTCCTTCCTGACCTGGCCCCAGCCGTTCTCTGGGCACCCGAGGCCTTTGGCACTGGCCACAGGAGCGTGCCAGCAGCGGTGGCTGTGTGTTAAGGGCCTTCCCCATCCCCCACCACAGCCCCCAGGAGCCCTCCATTTATGAAACAGGACCCCCGAACCTCTGCAGGAGAGGGAGGAGTCTCTTGTGCAGATTTATGCCAAAGCCTTGGTTGTCATGACTAGATCAGGCCGGAAGGCGCCCTGCAGTGGGGTCTGAGCAGCCGCGTGGCTCTGGCCACTGGACCTCCACACCAGACCTCCACAGCATGTGAGAAGGTGCTGGCCCCACCTGAAGAAGGCACGGGAGCTGGAGGCCCCGTCTCCCTGCCCGTGCTGCAGCCCACGGAATCAGTCATGCCTTCTGTTCAGTGGTGGCATCACAAGCCGCCCCTGGGCTCTTGTGTCCCCCTCCCCAGGCAGAGACCCTGACTGAAAGGAGTGGGTGGGGCTCACGTGCCGTCTGCCACCTGCCCACAGATGTGGACAGCAGCCACAGCCTCATGCCTCTGAAGGAGGAGGGCACGGCCCCTGCCCCATCCCGAGTGCTTCCTCTGTGGGGTCAGAGGCGCTGGGACAGGTCTTGGTGGTCTGCACTGTTGCTGCGCCAGGCGGTGGAGCTTGAAGGAGGCCCATCCTGCTGGACACTTACTCTCTCTCCTCCGGCGTGGACTCGGTCCTGCCACAGCCTTTGGCCCCTTGGGGGACACACATTTCATTCAGTCCCATCTGCTCAGCCCCAAACCCTCGGCTCCCCACGAGGGCACCATCCGTCCTCAGTGCTGAGTGCAATCCCTCCTGAACCCAGATGGGCATTTTCCTTCACGCCTGGCATGGCTTCCTGAACGTGTGTCTGGAGCATACTCGTGTGAGTGCAGACACTAGGTCGTGTTCTTGGGCTCCTGCTGCAGAGGCCTCAAGGGCAGAAGTGTGTGTGTGTGTCTGTGTGGCCACGTGTACACATGTGCCCAGCAGTGTCTCAAGACGTTCGCACGCCGCCCTGCACTGGGGACTCGTGGCACTGGCTGAACTGCCATGCAGCCTGTTTCTGGGCCTCCTGTGGAAGCCGGCGGGCTCGTGTGTCGCATGTCTGTCCCTTGTGGGTGCCTGTGTGTGGCTTCTGTCTGTGTTATTGGGGCACGGCTGTCCCGCACACCTCGCGTCATCACATGCTGTCTGTGTGAGCATGTGCGCACACTGTGCCCACGCCCTCTAATGCCTGTCTCCTTGTCTCCTTGTGCTGTCACTGCCATGTGCTGCCGTGTCTGTCGCTGCCCTGCAGTCCTCGCCAGTCGTGGAGGAAAAGGTAAAACCCGTGAGGTTTGTCCACTGTGGTGCTGGGCGTTCAGGGGGCACCTCGGGGCTGCGGGCCAATGAGCGGGCATGTTAGGGCATCAATTACCTGCCCAGAATGGCTGCTTAGTCTGCTGTGAGGTGTTTCTTGCGGCGGATGTGAGAAGTCAGAAGGGCCGTCTGGCCATGTTCATGAGACTGACATTAGAAGGTGGCAACTGCCGGGTCCCCTGTATAGCCACACAGCCGGGCAGTGAGGTCCAGGCCGCCCACGATGCTCTGCCCTGGCTCCACAAACGCCACCCTGGTCACAAACGAAGGCATGGCTGACTCCTGCTAAGGAGGGGTGTGCGTCAGGTGGGGCTGGTGCTGAATTGGGGGAAGTTGGGCCAAGGAAGGCCCCCGCTCTGCCTCAGTTGGCCCTGGACTCGTAGCGCGGCGCCCTCACTCACCAGCCTGTGTCAGAGCTGGCGGCATGCTTGTGACCCCCAAGGGCAGCGTGACCCCTGAGGACAGCATGCTGGTGGCATGACCCCCGAGGGCGGCGTGGTCTCTGAACCGGGGAACATCTGCATCCCCTGAGAGAGCTGCAAGGAGGAATCAGGAGGATGGGATCACTCGGCAAACACTCACAAGCCTGAGCCACGGCCCGGGGATCCAGTGGGGAGGAGTAAGGGAAAGAGTGAAGGCAGCTCCTGATCCCAGGTGATTTCCCTCGGAGGCAGTGGCCTGGCTGAACCACATGGGTGGGAGAGCCGTGCATACATTCCCTTGACCTCCTGGGAGGCAGAGGCCCTTCTCTCCCTGCTGTGCCCTGTAGCATCTGGTGACAGCGGGGACCGCATTGGCATGGGTCTAGGGACTGAGACGTGTCTCATGGTGTCAGAACTGGGCCTCAGGAGAGGTGCTCCCTGCACCAGCATTGGGAGCCCAGTGGAAGTGGGGCCAGGAGCCCCCTGGTGCAGACAGGGTGGTTGAGGCGCAGCCCCCCACTGGGGTCATGCTCCCTGGGCCTGGAGGCTGGCTGCCGTCACAGTGGCCGAGGAACCTTGTGGCTATTGTCAGAGAACAGCTTGAGTGCCATGGACCAGCAGCCGAGATGGCACAGCCCAGTCCCAGTCGGCCCTGGGACCCTTGTGCTGCAGGGTACGGTGCTGTCCTGAGCATAACAGACCAGGTGGCAGTCCCCAGAATGACCTGTGGGGTGCACCCCAGGTCATCCTTCTTGGCTCCCCACCCAGCGAGCGGAGCTCCTGGTCAGCAGCGGCTGCTGCACTCCGCCGCTGCCATCTGCATCCTCCAAGCACGGCCAGAACGGGTTCCTTGGACCCCTGAGGAAGCTCCCTTCCCTCCTGCAGCCTCAGGCTGAGATGTAGCAGCAGACGCTGTGGTGCGAGCAGACTCTTAATTCTTCTTGAAGAGCTCTGAGCACTGTGGGCTCCAGCATCTGACTGTGTGGTCTGCCCCCCAGACCTGAATTGCTGGGGAGCCGGCCTGGCCTCTGGGACCTCAGGGCTTTTGACTGGAAGCCTCCCTCAGAGGAGGACGTGAAGGGAGACCTTGGACTCCATCCCTGCTCTTGCTTATGGCCCACAGGAGGTCAGCCCCAGGGACTGAGCCCACCTCAGGGGAGACTGAGCTCTGTCCTGACCACTCCAGCTCCCAGGTGCTCCCACGGTCTCGGCCAGGCTGCCCAAGGGTCCATCTTCAAGTTTGGGGCTCCCTGACAGCAGAGAGGACGTGTGGGGAAGAAGACTCCCCTCAGGCTCAGGCTCAGGCTCCAGCAGATGTGGCGGGGCAGTCCTTACTCTGCACGTATTGTGTTCGGATATTTTGCAGCAAGGCAGCCTCATGAACAGAAGCAGTGAGGATGGGCAGGAGGGGCCGAGGAACAAGGAACAGGGGCAGGAAGGCTGGATTCCCTCTGCTGGTCCCAGGAACAGAGGCAGGGCTGATGTAACACCACAGAGGCAGGGCTGGACTCACTGAAGACCGTGGGCTTAAAAGTCACTGCTCATGGTGGCTGTGTGGCGCCGACCCTGATGCCAAGTCCTGTGGCTCACTCTGCTGTGGGGCGTCTCAGCACACCCCGCTGGTGTCTGTTTAAAACTAAACTTCATAAAAGTGAGAAACTGCAGCATCATAGGAGTGGGATTGTGACTGAGCAGACGCTGGAGCTGGGCTGTGGACTGGCATGGAGTGGCCCTTTCACTTGGGGTCTGCGTGTCCTGGGAGGGCTTGGGTTCTCTTCACGGCCACCCTCTAACTCGTGTCCTCTCCTCTCTCCCCGCATTTCAGCAGGAAGGAGCGTCCTACCTCCCTGAACGTGTTCCCCCTGACTGACGGCATGGTACGTGCACAGATTGGGGGCAAGCTCGTGCCTACGGGGGACCACTGGCACCTGAGTGACCTCGGCCAGCTGCAGTCCAGCTCCAGCTACCAGGTTTCGTAGCCGTGCCGTGGAGTGAGAGGCTCCTCCCTGTTGCTGGTGCCCCACGTTCACTGGGGCGGGAGCCCCGTCTGCAGGCAGCCCTTCGAGACTCTCCCTGGCCACTTGCCCTCTCCCCTCGTGTGGCAGGGTGGAGAAACCAGCCAGGGTGTCTGGGGCTCAGAATGCCCAGCAGGCCCTATGCTGCTGCGGCTGCTCCAGGCCGCCTTGCGTCAGCACCTGCTAGTCCAGGCTAGACCTCCCTGCCCGTGGATAGAACACTCTGCAGCCAGGGGTGTCCAGTGCCCGTCAGGGTTGAGCTTAGTGACCCTCTCTCAAACCACACCCCCAAGTAAAGTGTCTCCCTCACCTGGGCTGCAGCCAGACACAGCCTGCCCCTGAGAGCTGCGCCTCTGCTCTCGGAGGAACGTCAGTGTCTAGAGTCTGGGGTTTGCCCTCCGCTGGCAGAAAGGTGAGGAGAAAGCTCCTCCTCTCTGGACCCCTCCCTGCCTGTCCCTGTTAACACCTCCTGGGTCCTGAGTTTGAAAAAGCAGACCCCGCCCCCAGCAGGCGCTCACAGCCGGTGGCCAGTGGCCAGAGAGTGCACTCAGTGCGGGGCCAGAGCCAGGCCGCTCGTTCGGGGCCCCAGGCGGCTTGCTGCTGGTTTTGGCCTGTGAGCTCACTATCTGGCCTCAGTGCCAGGTAAGGACAGCTATCTTCCTGGGAAGAGGAGGTGACCCCGGGCTGGTGGATTTCCCACAGGGGCTGTCAGAGGATGTCCACAGAGGCAGAGGCCCTGGGCCTGTGGGCTGGGTTGGGCTGGTGGATGCGGGGTCTGGGACTGCTCCAGAAGCTTCCTTCCTGCTGCACGCTTTGCCGACTGTCCTTCCACCTCTCAGTGTCTCGTGTGCCTGTGGGGGCTGCTGTAGGCTCCTGCTCGCTCAGCCCTGCTGCTGCTGCACTGCTTTGGGAGGGAGCACCCCCATGGCATCTGGGACGCTTGTCCCCCAGCACACTCCCCTGTCCTGCCTATGCTGGGGGCTGGAGAGAGGGCGGCGGAACTGTGGGGCTCCCCCCGCCTTCTGGGCCCAGCCCTGCTACCTGGGCCGACCTCTCTTTCTCTCTCTCTCTGGCTCGCACTCCCTGGGCCTGGAGCTGGGGCCTGCCCATAGGTATCTGAAGACACGTCAGCCTCAGCCATGGGGAGCCCTCGCTTGACACCCTCTGGCCTCCTGGCTGCCTCCTCGTGCCCACCCTGGGCCCGCTGTTCTCACGGTGTCTTTCCTGTCACCTCCTGTGTTGTCTGAAATGGTCTCTCTCTTCTTAAATTGTAGTGTTTATGTTTTCATTCATAGGTCTGTTTTATTTGATTTTTCTTTATTTTAAATTATTACATTTAAGTTCTTTTTATTTTGTGCTCTAGGTTTTGAGGTTTTTCTAATTTCTTCATTTTTTTTGTTGTTTTTTGTTTTCTTTTTGTTTTTATGTACTTTATTTTCAGTGTTTTAACCAAACAGTTGTGGCTACTCATGGTGAGGAATGACCGCTAAGAGTTTGGGTTCTTTCAGTGCATTTGGAGGTCACTGCTACACGTTGATGTTTAGGAGGTTGAGAGGTTTGCTTTTAGGTAAGTTGTGGTCAGGGGGAGTGTCCCATGGGTAAGTGGTGGCCCCATAGGGTGACGGAGAGCTGAGGGCACCTAGGGGAGGCGCTTCAGATTGCAGAACTCCCTGCAGCCACCATGAGGCTCAGGAGCAGGCTGGGGACCCGGCAGTGGAGTCCAGAAGCTTCTGGTGGCCCAGAAGTGTTTGTCTGATATGCACATCTACGCCCTGCCAGGCCACATGGGGTTCCCTGATTTCTCTCTGCCGGGTGGTGGCAGAGTTGAGCGGGAGACCAGGTGCCGGTGGCGCACTGGGTAGGCAGGTTCTTTGAGAACGTCAGCGCAGACTCCTGCGTGAGTGGTACTCGCTTCCTCCAGTGGAGGTGGTGACGTGAAGAGCAAGGGTTTTCCTCTCAAACTGGGCCTAGCTGCAGTCACAGCCCACCTCAGGCCTTTCTGCAAAGCCACTCCAGAGGCAGCTGTGCCCACGTGAGGGCTCTCCCTCAGCACTGCTCACCGCTGGGGCTGGACACGCGTGGCCCTGGGCCGCTGGGGTGCTGTGGGCGTGGAGCAGCATCCCTGGCCTCCACCCACGAATGCCAGGAGCACCCCCTTCATTCATGACCACCAGAACGTCTCTGGACTTGGCAAGCATCTCTTCGGGGCAGTCAGCCCTGGTTGAGAATGGCTGCTATAGAGGAAGATGTGTCATTCCTTCCAGAGAAACTTAGGAGCCTGGTAGATGAAGTAGAACTCTGTCCCCTGAACGAGTGGCCATGTCCAGTACTGAAAGGCCCGCTGCCCTGAGCCTGGCAGTGACCAGAGAGGCTGAGCAGAGGCAGAGGTCAGAAGTGGCCGTGACTTCTGGAAGTCTCATCTGCCCTAGTCACTTAAAGGCCGGTATAAGTTGGCCGTGGAGAGGGCTGGACACCCCCTATTCAGCTCTACCCTGGGTGAGATCCTCAGCATTAGAGTCCACTGCGGTGTGCCCTCTGAGAGAACACGGGAACCCCCCAGTGGCTGCCTGGGGACAGGCACAGGAGCCACCTGGGTGCCTCTGAGGCCTTGCCTCTTCCTAAACCACAAGGAGGGCCGGGCGTCATGGGCAAGCTCTGCCATGGGAGGTCATCAGGGTGGAGAGCGTTCGGGCCTCTTCTCCGTCCTGGGAGATGATGGGGGTGGGTGAGAGGAGAGCGTTCGGGCCTCTTCTCTGTCCTGGGAGGCAATCATGGCGGGTGAGAGGAGGGCGTTCGGGCCTCTTCTCCCTCCCGGGAGGTGATGGGGGCGGGTGAGAGGAGAGCGTTCGGGCCTCTTCTCCGTCCTGGGAGGCAATCATGGCGGGTGAGAGGAGGGCGTTCGGGCCTCTTCTCCCTCCCGGGAGGTGATGGGGGCGGGTGAGAGGAGAGCGTTCGGGCCTCTTCTCCGTCCCGGGAGGTGATGGGGGCGGGTGAGAGGAGAGCGTTCGGGCCTCTTCTCCGTCCTGGGAGGTGATCATGGTGGGTGAGAGGAGAGCGTTCGGGCCTCTTCTCCGTCCTGGGAGGTGAT